TTCTTAATTATTGACATTTTTTAAGATATAAACTCATTTCGATGTTACACTCATCGAGACCTTTCATTCAAGTACCCACATTTTATTTTTTATATATTTTATATATATGGTATTTGTGAAATATATAAAATATATGAAAAATCGATGTGGGTACTCAAATGAAAGGTCTTGATGAGTATAACATCGGGATGAGCTTATATCTTTAAAAATGTCAATAGTTCACGAGATACAAGGTCATTTCTCAATTATGTATCTAGAGATAGAGAATTTTCGAATACAGCCTAAATACTTATCATAATAAATTGACTTTCCGTGAGAATGGAATGAAACTTTAAAAAGGCATAAATTCAAGTCAAAACGTTTGCAATGACACTAAATTTTACTAAAAAAACCGATTTTATTCTATGACTATCCATAAAACAAAATTTTTCTTATTCTCTTAATAATATAGATTATAAATAACAAACACCAAAATTTTTTCTCAAAGGCTCATTTTTATTAGCGATAAATAAACTTACACATCTTTACATATTTAACAATGCATACTCATCATAATTCGTCAGAAAAAATATAGTTAAATATCTATCTTCGTTATACAATTATAATTTATGTATATAATATAATATAGTAATTAATAATAAATATAATAATGGGCTGTGCCTCTGGACGTGTTTTAAACAAACTACCATTCTTAATCTTTCATTTCTCTCATTCGTGGCACAACGGTTATAAATATATTTATTAACATATATTTATCCTACTACTGATTACTGATTACAAATATCAATTACGTTATAATGTATAATAGTTTCATCATAACAGGGATTAAGAATTCTTTACAATTCAGATCATCGTCATAACTCATTATCATTACCATCAACATTCATTTATTCGTAAATCAATCAAGTACTTTCATTCAGACTTTAAAATTCTTACCCTTCTTCTTATCTTTATAATTAAACTCAACGACAATTTTACAATTAATTTAATTGTCTTTGATTTTAATAGTCATATTCATATATCATGTATCATATATACTCATAAATAATTTGAGTTTGTTTAAATTACCTTAAAATTTATTAAAAAAAAATTATTAATAACGCAATACTCTTCAATATTGCAGTACAATCATAACTAAATTTAATTAATCCGGTTTACATAATATAAATCGTGCTGATCCTTTACTGTTTTAATTATATAAATTTCCGGCGCGGTAGTAAATTTTTTGATATTAAAAAATGTAATTTTCGAGGCAGTCTCTTTAGATTATTGCCCTCGAAAAAAAATAACAAAGTACGCCAGTATAAGTAGTCAGTTTTGTCTATTATTTCAGCACATGAGGAATTTTTAAATTAATTATCAAATTATCATTAATCTATTTTTAATTAATTGTAATATGATATATAAACAATTAGATGGACGGGGATGACAAGTTACGAGACAAGAAAAATTTTTCCCTCTCGCTTATACATATATTTATGATATATATTTACAAATATAAATTACATCTGATCGAGACTATATAAATAAAAATAAAAAATTTTAATAAATAATTTATGATAATGATCAAAAGTCATTTTTTTATTTTTTGGTCAAAGTTTGTAATAATAAATAAATTTTTGTTAAAATTTACCATCACAATTTTATTGTCATCGTCGTCCATCATTCAACAGGTAATTGAGATAATAATTAATACAATAAATTGTAACGCCAACTGGAAGTTGTACTCTATATATATATATTAATAATTCATTCATTATTAATTATTATGATGCACATACAGTTTTTCTTTTTTTTTTTTTACGTAACATATATAATTAAAAATTTATTATTATTTATTTTATCGTTTGACAAAAAAAATATATATATAATAAAGTAACAATTGTTTGAAAGTTATTACAAAAAAGCGATTAAACATTCATAATAAAAAAAATCACATTTTAACAATAAAATTTAAACTTAACTCAAAACAAGAGTTAAAAATTAATATTTTAAACAAAACATTTAATAATTATTTATATCATCATTGACGATTATATTCAGTATTAAATAACTTAATAATTACAAGAGACTTTTAATTCCAATATCAATTTAAAAACATCAATAAAATTTAGTATAAAAAAAACCTAATATTCTGATTAAAATTAATACTAGAATTAAATGCCTCACTAACAATTTAATTATTAAAAATTAATAATATATAACTTAATGATAAAATATAAATCAACAAACATCACATAACATAAATAATTACTTCGAAAATAAAAAAAAAAATAGTAAATAAATAAATCGTGAAAAAAGTTTAAAAAATTTGTTCATCAGTGTCGCTGTTACCTAACTCCTGATAGGTAGTAAGCAACCCGGGACTCGAATGAGGGTTGGGATGAGAAGGACTAACCTTCAGCTTGAGTTTATGCTTGTGCCTCTGGTAGCCATGGCCAAAGTTCCCTTTAGCCAAAATAAGAGGCCTGAGAGCGTTTCTGACCGACCAATAGACCTTCGGATATTTCTTCTCCTGTTGAACCATCAGCTCTTTATTATTCTCACTAACAACCTCCTTGATCTCATCGCAGTTCTGACAAGCCACCCTGAGCATGGGCAATTTTTTTTCCTCCGTGAACTGCTTAAGCGACTTTTCCCTGACATAGACAAAAGGCCTGACAACCCTCAAGTCATGTTCCTTGACATAGTAATGCGCTTTCATGGTCTTGAGTTTCCCGCTGTAGAAAAAGGCCGTGAGGAATCCCTCAGTAAGGTCGTCCAAGTGGTGTCCCAGCGCCAGGACGTTGAACCCGTACCTTTTAGCAACAGAGTAGAGTCTTTTTCTCATGCTGACTCCCACTTTCCCGCAAGTAGTGCAAACCCGCCCGGGAATTGTTTTATCACTACCCGAGTCCACGGAAGAATTATTAACCGCGTCGATTAAGGACGCTTGTTCTTCAGCTTCCTCGTAGAAATAAGGAACCTTCAAGGCCTTGAGGTAGCTGACGGAGTTTATAGACTCTTCTGAAGAGTTGTAGCTGCTGTTGGCGTCAATTGTCACAGCTCCAATTTCAAAATCAATGTTTTTAGACCGCGCGTAAAATTGGTACTGGTGTAACGCGTGGAGCAAAGCTAGACCGTAACCCCCCGCAGCTACTCTGGCACCTGTTGTGGTGGCTGGAAGACAAACAAGCACTCTGTCCTTGTCCCGAATCATGTCGAACTCATGAATCGCCTCGACAGTCGCTTTCCACATGTTCTTCGGCGGACTGTACCACCTTGGTTCACCCTCACCCGGTTTATCATCATCTTCATCGTCTTCTTTATCATCTTGCTCAAATCCAGACTTATTTTCAACAAACTCGTCGTCATCTGAGGTCAGAATTTTGTCAGGAATTGGAAGACTAAATTCATCTTCTGACAAATCATCAGGAAGCTTTCGGGTATCTTTACTTTTTTCAAGATTTTTAGAACGTCTTGGTCCTTTTATGGGAGTGCTTTTAGGTTTTTTGCTGGTAGTGTTACTGCTGCTGATAATACCACAAGAGTCGGTACTACTGCTGCCGCTGCTGTTGCTGCTAGAGCTTCTACCGAGCTCGGTAGATCTTACGTCGTTGTCATTGAACGACAAATTTATGCCGCTGTCTTGGGAGCTCACTGAGTTTACTGCTGAATAAATTTCCGGCAGGGTTTTTGTACTAATACCAGTTATTTTTTTAATGACATTTTTGGTTAGCTTTTTGTTAACTTGTACTTCTTCCTCGTCTTCTTCGTCAGAGGTTTTTGAACGCTCGCGATTTGATGGTGATATCGTGGAGCTGTTTGTTTGGTTTGTTGGAGCTACTCGAGGACCCACCACGTATATCACAGTCTCGTCTGATGAACACTCGCTGGACATCTTGCTTTCTTGCTGCGACTGCTGTAAGTCTGATAGCTTTGAAGTCTTGGCGAGTTTCAGCCCCGCTAAAGGTGACGAGGGGAGTCTTCTTTCAGGGGTGCCGTAGCCTGGAGAGCCCGTTGATGCTGTTGAGTGCAAGTCGGGAGAAAATCTTCCTAGACCGTCTACTTGGTTCACCATACACCTAGAATTTACAGTAGTAATAAATTTACTATTTTATATTAAGAAAAAATTAATAATATATAGAAAATATTTATATTTTTCAATAAGTGATTTTTGATAAGATTTTTAATTAAAGATATTATTACTTATTTATGTATGAGAGAAAATTTTGATAAATAAAATCTTTTTTAAAATTAAAAACCAAAAAATCATACTCCTAGAAAAATTTTTATTTTATCGTTTTTTCTCAATATCAATTACGAATTTTTGTGATGATAAAAATCAAGGATGAACAAACTAAAATAATCATAAGAATGTTTATCCAATCATACAATATTTCTTTAGTGTTTTTCTGACATCATAAAGTGTCTATAGAATACAAAAAAAAAATTTATTTATATGTCTCAAGTTGTTATTAATAATTCCGATTGTATATTTTTCTATATTTATTTGGAGTGTATGTTTATTTGTATTCAGAGCTAAAGTTTGCAATAATAATAAATAAATAAGGCCTATAAATTTTTTTTAAACTTTTGCTATTGATGAGGTTTTATAAATATATTCTCTGGTTTTTTTATAATTATTTATATAATTGAGAGAATAAGGAAAATTTCGTCTCCGACGTATTTATGTGATAAAATTATTTTTTTGAATTAAATTCAATATTGATCAAAAGGTCTTGACCTTAATTTGTATTTTCAAGGTTTCGTATGCTTCTACCGATAATTAATTTATTCTAAGTTATAAATAGATTCGAATTTCGCACTAAAATTAAATAAGAAAAGTTTTTACTTAAATTTGTTCTTTTTTATAATTTTACATATTTTTTGATAGCCAATTTTTTTTTTTTTTTTCAACTTTTTGGAGAAATTTAAATAGTTTGTTGTTTCTATAAGTTTGTTCAATGAAATTTATCCATTAAATTATTAATAATTACTAGTTCTTTTTTGTCACATAAATCTGATGATATCAAAATAACACTCATGATTGTATCATTGACTAACTATCCAACATATGATTAGTTTAGTCTCTACCATAAATTTCTATCATCAATAAATAAAATTAGACCCTCAAGTCTAGAATCTTAATCACTGATTCTTATTTAAAAAAAAATTAATTACCTAATTTCAGATTTAACTTCGCTCGCCATCCCTTTAGAAAACTCCATCAAATACTCAGCAACTTCCCTCGCGGAGCAAGAATCATCCTTCTGATACTGTCTCTCACTAGCCATCACAGCCCTTTGATTATGATGTTGCGGCGTCCCATTATCCGAGAGAACATCATCAACCTTAGAAATAACCTCCCTAATCTCTGACTTAATCTCAGTCGCGAGTTCCTTAGTAACTTCCTTCAAGTAGGCCCTCAAGTCATCCTCAGAGCTTTGACTAAAGCTGCTAATAATCGGCGAGCACCTTCCCAATTTATGAGTTTCCACAACTGGATGATGCGCATGCTGATGAGACAGTTGATGAGAATTAAACGCCTGAGTGTAGGGATGCGGCGACGGCGAAGAGGAAGAAGTTGGAGAAGAAGTCGCCGAGGACCCCGGAGACCTAGTCGGACTGTTACCAATCCCTCCATCAAGCTCCAGCGAACTGGACAAATCAATCCTACTGCTACTGCAGCTGCAGTACCGATGATTCCTCGGTAAATTACCACCAGTAGAAGCGACTCCCAGACTCGCCAGAGTTTGTGGACTCAGAGGAATAGGAACCGGCATGGTTTTTCCACTGCTGCCCAAAGAATTGCACCTTGTTCTGTTTCCCCGGTGACTAATATTGGTGTTACTTCCATTTACATACTGCGGCATACTGTGTTCGCCAGCCATCAGCCGCGCACCAGCCGGCGTTGTCGCAATAATCATCGAGGAGGTGACAGCTTCGCCCACTGCAAATTTTATCGTCGGCGACGGAGAGTCCGTGGATGATTTCTGCCCAGGGTGTGAGTGAATAGACGACAAAGAAGAAATAGAAGAAGAAGAAGAAGAAGAAGAAGAAGAAGAAGAAGAAGAAGAATTATTGTGACAGATAGCTAGAGTTGGTTTTTCTTCACTGGTTGTTGAGTCGAAGCTATCACCAGAGCGCTTTAATGGTGGAGCATGAGGATCTGATGATAATGCTGGCAAGCTGTTGTGTCTGGGAGATGCAATTGCCAAGGGAGGGTTCGCTGTTCTAGGTATGTCGCTGTTAAGTCTCCGAATTCCTGAATTATTTATTCCTAAAGTGAAATCACGTCGGTGCTTTCTTACAGCCGGATCAAAGGGCAGGTCTTGCTTTACATTTTGAGAGTTTCCTAGCAGAAGATCCTGAGCTTCGCTGGGAAGAATAAACCAGCGCAGAGACTCGCCAATTGCTGTGAAGGTCACGTTAGAGTCCATCTGGAGCGGGAAGCGTTGTGCCATTTTTCTCGATCGATTGAAAATGTTTCGCGCGGTTTGAAGACAGTCCGCGTAACTCTGAGGGAATACACCTCCTGCGCCTGATACTCTCCTTTCAGAGGCGATCATTTTTCCGTCGGTGTACCGAATTGATCCTAACCACTTGCGCTCTTTGAAGACGCTGTTTGTGTGGTGACGCCACTCACCGGTGTCCGGGTTTAACACGTACTGCGGGAGGAGTTTCCAGCCCTCGGTAGCGACCATTTTCAAGGCCTCTAATACGAACGCCAGCTCGGCCTCTGTTGTAAAGTAGGGCAAGGACAGACGGGCGAATCCAGGCCGCAGAACTTCGGCATTAGACTCGGGATTCGAACTCCTGAAAAACGGGGTTTATGTCAGTATTTTTTAGGTAGATTGATAGAAAGGGGAGTTATTTGAAGAGGGTTATTTTTAGCTTGTGGTAAGGAGGAAGAAAAAAAGAGGAGGATAAGGATAATGGTGAGTTAAATTAGTGGCTTACTTGTCGGTTAGTATTGAATTGTATTTTTTGGCAAGGTCAATGCCAATCCCCATGAGATCGTGAGCGTATCGACCGGCGCAAGCGCATCCGCTTCGGGCTTGTATACCAAAAACGTCGTTGAGAATCGCACAGACAAAATTATGATGCAAAAAGGTTCCTCGTGGGTGTCTGACCATGAATGAAAATACTGGTAGTCTTTTTATGTTTTGGGAATTGCTACCGAGTAATATGAGCTCGGGTATTGTTCTCACGTGAGCCAATACTTGTCTGAAAAAATATTAATTTATTTGATTTTTATATCTTATGATCTTATGAATATAACAAAATTTTTTTTATGGAAGATGACTTTTTATATAAGAATACTATTTTATGAAATTTTATTAACTTTCATGAATTTTAATAAATTTTAAATGCAAGAGAAAAAATCATTGCAAAGGATTTATAAAATACTTTTTTCTTTATAAATTTTGTAATATTTTTTTCAATTCCAGAATTTGGATAAAAAATTTTTACATTGATTAATTAATTGAAAAGTTCAAGTAATATATATATATATATATATATATATATATATATATATATATATGTGTGTGTTTTATTTGCATAACTTTACAAAGTTTTTTTTTTTTTAAAGATATAAAAATATTAGATTGATATTAATAAGTAACTTTTAAAGAGGTAATAATTACTAATTATTTTCAAAATTTTTTAATTCGTAAAAATATTTAGAAATATTATTTGTTGATAACAAGTTCAAGTAATATTTAAAGTGACATTGAATTTATTATAATATATTTAAAAAAAATCTATTTATCTATTTATTTATAAAATTTTAAAAATATCAGGCTTTAGAGAAGCTGCGTATTATTTTTAGACTTGATAATCATTTTTTATACGTTGAATCCCGTTGTGACTTTTATATTTATGATCACGGTCAAGGACAAATGATATCTGATTTCTAAGGATCGTTGAGTAAGCTTTCGCTACATTTATCACGTGATGTATAATATATATTCTCTTGGTATAAAATACTATCGGAAATATTTTTTTACTGATAAGAACTCAAACAGACCCTTCAAAATTTAATGCACTCTATTATTTATTACTATTATGATAATATAGAATGCAAAGTTTAATTTTTTATATCTACAAATTATTGCATATCAATATTGTTACTTAAAAATATTAATATTAAATTATTTAAATTTTTTAATGCGATTTTTATATTGTATGTACCTTCTCTATTCTAAGTATCTCACTTTAAATGAAAAGAATGTATTTGATAATTATGCTAACAACATATGAGTCATAAATTAGTCTATAATGGACAAATGCTGTGTAACAATAGTTAAATAAATTTTTTTGCTATTAAAATCGGGATTCCTGGTGAGTTTATCAAGTCTGTTTTATTATTATATGAGTACTAAAAATTCCACAACAAACAGTTGAGTATTTACAATGTTATCCTACTTTTATTTTAGGTCAACTTATTTGTACAAACAAAAGAATAATTTATCTGAGACTTACTATAATTTACAATATTTTTTGATAATCAATTTTGAAACCAGACAAGATCACCTTACAGCATTAAAAAATTACAAAAAGTAATGTTTTATAAACTAGCGATAAAGTAAATACTCTTGTCATTATACATGACATTTAAAGGTTTCCATACAAGTCAAGGAAATAAATCGTGTTAACAGCTTTTTATTTTAACTTAATTTTATCAAAAAATTTAGTTATTTTTATATTTTAGAAGTTAATTTTTAACAACATTATATTTATTAAATTTTATTAACTGAAAATTATTTTGGTATTTTATACAGAATTAAGGTAGTACGAGCACTATCGACTCTAGCGCAGTATAAGGGGAGAGCAGTAACCATACACTGAAAAAAAAATTAACTTGATTTACGAGGAAAATTCTTGAACCAAGAAAATAATTTTTAAGAGCGTAATTCTCTAGAATCAAGACGAAAAAATTCTTGAATCAAATAAAATTTACTTAAACCAAGTAAAAATTTCTTAGTTTATAAGAATTTTTTTACTCAAATCAAGAAGATAAAGTTCTTCAAAATTATATACTTGATTCAAGAACATTTTTTTTCTGTGTATGATTTTTCTAAATACATTTAATATTGGCTAAAGGCGGCATTTATTTTTCTTTTAATTAATACACTTTAATTAGTCGAGCAAGTTTAAATTTTTTTAAATTAAATTTATTATTAATATATTTGCTTTCATCCATAAGTTTTTTAAAAATATTTACTGACAGTTTTACGAGAAAAATACAGAAATTTATCAATGTTTGTTACCCCATAAGGCCAATATTAAATTGCTCAACTTCAAAGTTAATTATTTATTTAAATAATCGGGCAATCTCCTTCAAATTTTTGGAATTCATTTAGACATACTTAAACTTCATATTAAAAAAAAATCAATCCTTTTATTAAAAGTTGCTCATACTACCTTAAGAATAAAATTTTATTTTTAAAAAAATTAAAATTATTGTTATTTAAAAAAAAATGAAAAATTTCTGCTATAAATTTAAAACCTGACTAATTGATAAAATTTTTTTTAACAAGTAAAATAATTATTTTTATCATAATTTACAACATAAAAATATAAATACCCATGGTACAATTATTTTGATGTAATGATTCTGTATAAAGAATAATAGCCGGAAAAAAAGTGAATACTTACTTGCAAATTTTATCCTGTCGTGAAATAATAGCTTGTGTGGTAACATTTTCTTTCAATTGCATCGCGAGCCCACAGCGAATAGAGCCGACAATTCCCGCGGTACCACTTTCATCACGGAGTTCCGGATCTTTGAGATATCTGTGGGAGTCGCGCATATCTTCAATGGCAATATCATTTTTCAACAACGACCTCTTGACTACAAGGACACCGGGTGATTGCGCGCCACCCACAAATTTATGTCCGCTAAATATTATCGCGTCTTTGTACACAGCAGTTTCGCCCACGCCTGGTAAGTGCGGATTCATGTCCATGTGAACGTAAGGAGCTAAAAATAAATAATAATAAATATATTGTAATTTTATTTTATTATTTCTCTTAAATTAAATACTTTTATACACTCATAAAAATTCATACAATTTATTAAATCTTAAACTATTAAAAAATGAAAGTGACAATTTAAAAACAACTTTTATCATACTTGGTAAATTTATTTAATATAAAGTAATTTAAGTTTAACTGATTAGAGTAATTTAATTACAATGTCAGCTGTTGTGTTTTTAATTTAATTAATAAAAAGTAATTGAACTGCATCAAACAAGTTGATGAACCATTGACCTTCATTATAAATTCTTTTTTTTTTAATATTAATTAATTAATAATAATAATAATAATAATAATAATAATAGTTAAAAATTTTAATCACATCAACTACAGTCATAAATATATAAATCATTTACATAGTAATTTATGATCTGATGTTTTAATATATTTTTTCGATTATTTTTTTAAATTTACAAGTTTTTTTTTGCACTTTACGACCTTAGTAAATTCATTACAATATACAAACTGTAGATTATATTATTTTCTCTCGTGTTAGTTCTGTTATTTGTGATTTATATCAGTTTAACTACTATAGCTTGTATGGTAGTTATTTTTATTTTTTTCTAATATTTACATAAGTAGATAATTATTAGAGGGTCAGATAATTACTTTTAAGAGACTTTTAGTTGCAAAATAGACTGAAAATTATTTGACAATAATTATCAATACAACTTTTATAAATTTTTAATATTTACTATCATTACTTGAGTTTTTAATAAATATTAAATTATTATTATTATTATTACTTTTTTTCAATTTTAAGTTAATTGGCTATCCAGTTTAATACAACAATTTTTAGCCTGTATTTCCCTCCAGGCATGTAGAATTTAGCCATATTTCACATCTAAATTTGTCATTAATGATAAATTTGACTGAAAAAATAATTCGGATGGCTCAAATCAGGACAAATTTAGATATGAAATATGATTAAATTGTATATGCCTGGAGGGAAATACAGGCTAAAAAATATTATGAATAAATAAAAATTGTTGTATTAGACTGGATAGCCAATTAACTTAAAATTGAAAAAAAAGTATTAAAAACAACCAATATTTAGAAATAAATATTAAAAATTATTATTATTATTATTATTATTATGTTAGAAGTGTTATTAAGATTGGTAATTTTACTAATTAAAGAGGATTTTTTTTTTTTTTTTTTTTTTTTTAAATTTTTGTTTAAAGTTACGTCATAAACTAACTAAGGTTAGTTTTTTCCAATTAGAACAATTGTTTTTTTTTTTTGTTTTTTAATTTGTTTAAAGTCGCATAAACTACTAAGGTCATGAGCGACTACGGTAGGGGGTACACTTTTGAGATTGGAACTCGTTTATATTTCTTGGGCTGAGCAGAATAATACACTTAAATATTGAAAATATTCATTGGTGTACGCCGGATTCGAACCCGGTCCAATGCTTTGGTAGCAAGGGCCGGATCCGATAGGCTACTGCGCGCTTTTGATTAATTATTATTTTTTAAGCCAAGACCTGATTATTATTATTATTATTTTAATAATATTTTTATTTTTTCTAAAGACTGGTTTATAATATTTTTATAAACATTTTTCTGACGTAAGTCATTGAAATTCTCAGTTTATTGGCTATCCAGTCTAATAAAACAATTTTTTTTCTAATTTTTCATAATACTGTTAGCCTGTATTTCCCTCCAGGCATAAAAAATTTATTTTAAATTCATATTTAAATTTGTCATTAAAGATAAATTTGACTGAAAAAAATCGGACGGCCTAGACCAGAACAAAAAAATTGTTGATTAGAGAAAGAATTGTTGTATTAGACTGGATAGCCAATAAACTGATAATTTCAATAACTTACGTCAGAAAAATATTTATTAAAAAAATTATTATTATTATCATTATTGTTGTTATTGTTGTTGTTGTTGTAGTTATTATTATTATTATTAAGTAAAAAAATCAAGATAAATTATTAATAAAAATTCAGAATAGTCGATAAAGTAATAATATTAATAGTAATACAAGTATAACAAACTCACCGGCTGATGTATAGTCCCACACACTTAATGCACCGTACTGATGCAACAAGAGAGTGGTTGCAACGTCATCGGCAAGTACGCCAGTAATACAACTAGCCGCATTAAAGCAGCCAACCATCATACGTTCTGACGTTTTTTCCTCAACAAGTTTACGCTCTAGGTCATTCAAGTCAAGAAATCCCTCTTTGGTTTCAGCAATTCTCACCACCTAAATTCACATAATAATGTTTATTATATCAATAAGTAATAGATCCTCATTATCATTGATCATTGCACTAGCGCATCAACGAACGACTTGGCTCTATTAATTACATATATTATGACTTGTTAAGAGTCAAAAAGTGAAAGGAAGATCTTTAGGTATCAAGTAAAATGCCAAGATTGCGATTATGTCGATTGCGCAAAGGAATTTATTCAAGTTTAAATAATTGTGTAATTTTTCGCTGATAGCGCTCGGGTTCAATCCGGTAATTTAAAGCATTATTTATTCTTCTATACTATTATATTAATAATCAGACATGCTTGTTACCATATCTTTACAAATAGATAATTTTAAATCTTTTAATTTATGTGTCGAGTAATTGGCGGACATTGTCTAGTTTATGTTGGTTTCATTTAACGTTTTAACCGTGGAGTAGAAATAATTGACCTGATTATCAGAAGGTTAAATTTTATAATTTTGCTGCTAATATGAAGATTTCTTTTTTTACAAAATAGAAAAATATTGAACAAAAATTTGCAAAGAAACTAAAATTATTCTTCAATAACAAATCACTTAAAATTAGTCATACATTTATAAAGTTATTGTTGTAATTTTATTTTACAATTCTGCAATATTTAATTGGTCAAAGATCATTTTAATTAACATGATTAAAATTTTTTGAGGAATGTTTTATTGAGCTCAAAATATTTGTCTCTAGATAACTGGAATGTATTGATGGAAACTGTGTGGTATATTGAAGCAATTAACATAATCAAAGGGAAAGCAATTAGCTGAAATTGTATCACAACTTTGCTGGTAATTCAAATTATAATATTAGTAGTAGTCGCTAGACCAACAATCGAGTCAATTATTATTATATTATTGAGTAAATTATAAACAGAATACAATAAATAAAATGAAACTTTTACTCTAATAGTAAAGGTAAAATTTTGTAATTATTATAATAATTGTGAAGTATAAAAATTATTGAAATATTTAATTTTCGATTTGAATATATATTCAAAAAAAAATTATTTATAATAGAAATTTTAAGTGATTATCTATCAATTAAAATTAATTAAAATTTTGAATCATTTATCAGATCACAAAAATTAATTTGTTTTAAATCAAAAACGATTGAAATTTAAAACAATATAACAAATTTTATATTGCTTCAAATTTACCAAAATTGGTAAATTATAACTTTTTTATTTTAGATTTCTGTTTGAACTTGTAATAATTTTTTAACTTAATAAATTTTATTTTAACTTTAAATATTGATAAAGATAAAACTAGATTTGAACAAAATTTTTAACTTGTAATTTTTAGAAATTTATTACAAAGAAAAAAATTCAGTAAAATTAATTTTAAAAAAATTGCCTAATAATTATAAGAAACAATGACTGATTTTTATTAAAAAAAAAAAAAAAAATTATTAAAAAAAAATTAATTGAATTTTTGATAATTTCGATTTATTCTATACAAAAAAAAAATTTTGATTTGTTAACACAATTGTTCCGTAATAAAACGCAGCATAATTTTGTTGTAGAAATGTAAAAACCCGGTAATGATGATAGTTTAAGACTTGTAATTTAAAAAATATGTATAATAAATATTCTGTAAGCAACAGAGAAAAAAAAATACAAGAGTTTAGTTCTTGATAGAGCGCCAAACTTGCCAAGGCGTGTAGTAGATGTTGTTGGCTTGGAATCAAGCACGGTCGAAGTTTAAATACGAAAAACTTCTGGCAGTTTTCCACAGGACTTTGACTTTTCAATCTCGTTACAAATGAGCATCAATGACCCACTATTGATTCCAAAAATATTTAACCCTTTTTATTGTTTCAGTAAATTAACATCAGAATTAATTAACAAGAGCGTCGTCAACCGTAGAGATAAACAGCAGATAAAAGAAAAAAAAAGATGAGTCGCGATCGTTAACCAGGAAAAAAAGTCGGGATTTTCCGTGACTGAGGAAAGTGTTAATGGGGTGTGAAGCAGTGTTAAAAATCTGAATATAAATAAACGTACCTTGGTACCGAGTTCGCACCAGGGTCGCAAATTGGTGCGATGCTCGAATGGACCAACAAAGACAACGGTCGGCCTCCGGGGGAGGTCAAGATGGCGAAGAAGAGTCCGCAGAACGTCGTCGGTACCATGACCTGTAAAGAGAACAGCATCCTGCTCTCCGGCCCCGACTGCATGTCGAATGATGTCTCTGGCCTCGTGCCTGTAACATTCACAGTCCGGTCATCAGCTGCTACTTTTTTCAACCGCCAGTAATATAACTGATCCGATGCGACAGATAATTAAATAAACTGGTACGCACAATTATTGTACGTCTCAATAAGGTCTCCGCCTTAAATGGATTTTAATTTATTATTTTTATCAAACATTATTACTTTTTTACGGATTCAGTTTCAAAATTATATTTTTTATTAATGCGTCACTTTAATTACTAATTAATCACTTCTGGTAGTTCATTTATTTTAAATTAATTGCAGTGAATGAAAAAAAGCTTAACAAGATAGAGGTAATAGTGTTGTAATTTTTTTTTAGCTGCCAAATATTTTTTTGACGTTTTATCGCTGATTTATTTAAAAAAAAAAAAAAAAAATTTTTTTAATTTAAAATTAACAAATAAATAAAAGAATTTTCCAATGGGTTCAAAATTTAATAAAAGAATTTTTTTTCCATCTAAATTATTAATATAAAAATTACAGACAACTAAATAGTGAAAAATTTTACGTAATTTTCAAATTATAAAAATTTAATTTTATAATTGGAATTATTTAATTTCTAATGACGAATAATTCTGTTTTGTCACTTAATTATTTTAATTAGATTCGAAGAAAAAATATTTTCAAGAGACATCATAAATAAAATTATTGTTGAAATTATCAGAATAATTATTTAGATAAAAAAAAAATTAAAGTGCAATGATAAAAAGTTAAAACTTCATTTTAAAAAACATTCTATTGGACAATTCCCAAAATTGTACTTTAAATAAATTTTAATTGAAACTTGGTAAAAAGTGTTTAATGAAAAAAAGTGTGACACCTGGTCTCAATCAGCTCATCACCTTTAATAACACACGTATATCAAACTACTTAATCCTTAACTGATGGTACCATAAACGGTTTCGTCTTCGGCACAAGACTAAGTTTACGGTACTTGTTGCGAGAAACCCAGTGACTTGGATTATTGTGCCTGAGGGAGCCGGTGTCAACAGCTCAACGAATATCGAATAAAGTTGCTTCCTTAGAACATACTAGAAACTCCTTTCTACAATGTCTCGCTAAACTTTAATCGTATCGGGTATAAATTGTGTACATGCGCAACTCAAGGACTTTTCTAGAAAACAAGATACTCCGTTATTGCTCTAGTATGCATTAAAACATCTAGGCCAGGCTAGGTTATCCCTTCAAGCTCTTCCGATATGCCGATCCCTAAATGTCATTCTCTTAACTCGAGACTCTTATGGTAGCCTACTGGCCGAACCTAGCAAACTTCATTCTCCGATGTTTTTATCAGCTAAATAGAAAGGTCATGCTTTATTTTATTTACACTGAAAATAATTACTTGGTTGAAGAAAAATATTATTTTAAAAATTTCACTCTTTTTTCCAAATATTAAGTTTGAATTAATTCAAGAAATTTATAAATTGAATTAAGAAAAAAATTTAATCAAAAATTTTTTTTGGACTAAAAAAACTCTTTTTTAATTCAAAGAAATTTTTTTAATTAATCGTATTAATAATTTTAATCGAAAAAATAATTTTTTTATTGAAAAAAAAAAAAATTAATTCTTAAACTAAAAAAACTTTCTATTAAAAAATACAGAACTTGTTAAATTAATTATTATTTCAGTACAAGAAATTTTTTATGGCTATTAAAATTGATAAAAAATAAAATAATTAATGTTAATTTTGATTATTAATATTTTAACTATATCAATAAATTTTTAACAATAATTAATTAATTAATTAAGGCATAATATTCTCTTCAAAATAATTTTTTTTTAGACTAAAAATTTTGTCTGGTAAAAATTTTCAACTTTTTCTTAACAAGAAAAATTAAAAGAAAATTATTTCCACTTGAATAATCATCTAAAACAATTATCCTTGAATTAAAAAATCCGCCTGCTATTTTCGAATAAAAGTAGATTTTTTATTAAGTGAAGCTAATGATACATTTAATGTCGTTGTTCGCTAATGACACAAAGCCGCACGCATATAGACTTGCGGCTCCAAAGTAAACAAGGCTATAAAAACATAAATTAAAAAAAAAGAAGAAAATAATGAGCCTTGGGTGACAACCTTGAGCTTTTGTATAAAAAAAGCTGAATGTGACTCAAATCAGAGGCTTTGTGAGCTTCCATGCCACTCTGGAGTCACCGAATTGCCCCAAGGTCTCTTTGCATTTTCACTGTGACTGTCTCATTACTTGAGACATCAAAACATCAATACTCTAATTGCAAAAGGAGAATTACAAGGAAGTGTAGTTTGGTCTCTAATAAACTGCAAGACTTTTATCAATAAATAAATAGGTTGATAATTTGACACAGGGGGCGTTTTCCCTGGCATTTTCTTTGCCGATACCGATATCTGATACTGTTATACATAATACCGCACCGATCATAAACATAATTACATACATGTTGGGATTGAAGTTTATGAAAGTAAGCTGTAACTTTAATTAAGTCGGTGGATTATTATCTATCAATTCAAGGTACGATGACGATGAGGTAATAGATATTTTTTTTTACACTGCTTCTGTATTTAATTTTATTTGATAAATTAAATTGTAAATTGTAATACTTATACTCAGAACTTTAATCGTCATCGTAACTTTAGATATCCAGGAATTATTTTAGAGCATAATCAGCTAGTTTTTTCCTAGCGGTATATATATATATATATATACAATATATTACTACTGCGTTATGTGTAATGTAACGCTAAGAATCGTATTACTCGTAAATATCGTATAGCTTGAAATTAAATTCTATTTTTATCAATGAACTCATCAAATTTTTGATAATTTTTTAAAATTAAATTACTTAAACCTCAAATTTAATTTTTAAGATATCAAAACAAATTTTCAATTATTTTTAAAATAGCTTTCTGCTTCGACAAATGAAAAAAAATTCATATTTTTAAATCAATAAATTATTTATATTTATAAAGAGCCTACGATATTTTCTTGTTGTTATTTTTATTTAAATTCTCTTTGTCTTAGGTCACCCTCACTAGGTAATTATTATTTATAGCCTTGACGACATTAATGACCACCAAACGCTTTATTACTGCTAGGTCTTTATTATCGCTTTACTCTGGAAATAAAATAACTATGAAGAGCGATCTGAGATTCGAAAAAAATAACATATTTGTTAACAAATATTTAATCTAATCAAAATCAGAAAATCTGTTAGTATACTCCGTTATTTACTCTTTTTTAATGGCACTATTTGCTTTTATTACTGTGTAACTATTTATTTTTTGTTTTATTGTATTGTCATAAATTATTGCTATTACTAATTCACAGCTTATTCTTTTATTATTATTATAAAACCACACGCTAAAATAAATTTTTTTAACAGAAAGTTGGATTATTTTTTAGATTTTACATTTTATCGGTAGTAAAATTAAGGAACATCTTCGCACTTGAAACAAATGATATTATTTTTTAATAGAACGTTAACTTGTTTCAATTGATGACACTGTGAAGGTTACATGTATTTATAGCTTTTAAATCACTTATTTTAATAAGCAAGTATTTATAGGAGTTTATGCTGCTAATTAATTTTAATTAATGTCCAATCAAGAGTAAAATTATGCTTAATTTTTTTTTATTTTCTCTATAAGAAAGTATTTTTAAAAACTTTAATTTATTTTTAAAAAATACAATATATTGAATAAAAAATTTTTTTACCAAAAAAAAAAATTACCCATGTATATTAAATAGTTTACAATAAAAAAATTTTAAATAGTCATCAATTATAATTACTTTTAATGACCTAAAATTCCAAAAATATTTCAGCAGTCCATTATGAAATAAATTTTATTAATCAAAATATATGACTTTGATGTATTTTAAAGACTGATTCATCATTGCGTCTAAAAAATTTCAACAACTTCTTTGCAAAAAATTTTTTTCATTAAATTTCGTACATGACTTGACAACTTAACCGTCTCTCAAAAATACCGAGCTGAAAAAATAAAACCGCTTAATCCGTTTTATTTATTTTTTTTTTTTTTTTTCAAGCTGGATTAAACGTCAATAAAATATGTATGTAATTGGTGTGGATCGAAAAGAACAAACAGAATAAAGATAATATAAAATGCATAAGAGCGCTGACATTGGCACGATGAGTTTTGTGAACAAACTTTCCTTCCTAACTTTCTATTCTTGCTCTCTGGTGGAGTCGTGAATGTGGATAAACGGCGGCATTTTACTTGCATTTTTAAAACCATTAGACATTAGACCCCCTCGGCATACAACTTGGAATTTCCTGTTCCTGTATCAGTCTCTCACGCGTTTATACCCGTCCTCTTATTTCCTCTCCCACTACAATTCAAATCGATCCGAACTTTGCACGATACTTTTATTTATTTCAGATGCAAAAACATTAATATTATCGTGTCTCAAGTCTATTTATTAACTCTCTAATTTTAATGTTTGATTTTAGGTCATTTCATGAAATAAAAAAGCCAAATCTCAACATATCTCCACAATTTTTTTGCTTATTTTTTGCACACTCATTTACATTGTACATTGTACATTTATATTGTACATTCACTCAATAAATTAAAAATTTAAATACGAATTATTTTTAAACTAACGAAAAACATTTTACTTTGTTCGCAGCAAAATAAAAATTTTACTCTAGTACGAAAAATATTTTTAGTAATTTTTTATTTGTTTATAAAAATTTCTCCTCTAATCTCATCTATGAATCTATCTTAACAAAGAAAGAAGAAAGGCGTATTATGTATAATAGAATGGAATAATTTGCTATTATACTGGCAACAGCTACCATGTTACGTAGGAGGACGTACCAGTAGAATTAATTAAATGGTAAGATTCTTATTTTTTTTTTTACTTTTTTCCATTTTGTTAAAAATGAACCTAGTTACTTTGCACAATTTAATGTGTCGCTTAAACTGAACACGGAAAAAAAAATTAATTTGATTCAAGAAAAAAAATTTACTTAAATAAAAACGATGAAGCTCTTCAAAATGATTTCCTTGTTTAAAGAATTTTTTTCTAGAATCAAATGAATTTTTTTTCAGTCGAGATAATTTATCCTAGTGAAAAAAATTTATATTAACATGTTCGAAATATATTTACACATATCTTATATGTTAGTTTTAAATTCATATTTTTTAATATCTTCACAGATATGTTTTTTTATATATTCAAGATATATTTTTAATGGATTTTAATTATTATGAAGATTTGTAAAATATATTTTTTATCAAGACTTAAATTAATTAAGATTCGTTAATGTATTTTTTATAATCCAAAAAAATATTCTAATACCTAAATTTTTTTCATTATTGAAATGAAAATAAACATATTAATAAAATATCTTCTGATAATTCTTATGAAAGAAATATTCGAAGCGTAGTAGACTCAAGATTCAAGATTATAATTTGTACTAAATAAAACATTTTTTTTTATCGTGTTATAGCACTCGAGGTGTTATCAGAATTAAAGAATGTAACGTACGACATTTGTAAACAAGAGAATAGAATGATAGTGACTATGGCCTTGTGGTGTAAATATCACCTCACTTAATTATGCAGCTTTCCCGGAAATGGTGTGCGTGCGAGGGTGTTGCCACGAGTAACTCTCCTATTCTCAGTAAAAATCATAATATGATATTTAACACGCAGTAAAACAATAAACCACCCTTGTAAATATTACGATAAAGAACTACAAAAATTTAAGAAATGTATAATTAAAAATATAGTAGATACTCTGTTATGAGATAATAATTAACTTAATCAATAAAAAAATCGATAATTCAACATATACTTTCTACAAATGCGGAGTAAAAAATTGGCGGTTTGTAAATCTCGTGAGAGTTAAATCAGATCGGGTAACTCACGTTCCGCTCATTGAATCGTCTGATGTGAGATTATGGTGAATGTGATATGAGGCAAGTATGCACGTGTACAACTGTTATATACCTACTATCTAAACTATATACTTGCGACTTTCGATCGAATTTGCCGCTAAACATGATTAGGTGAAAGCGAGAGCTACAAAACTACAAATGTACATAAATAACAATTGATCAAAATTATCAATTTTATTATTTTGATTAGTTATACATTTTTTTCATTAATTTCTCTTTATTAATTAATTTCTTACATTTTATTGCAGATAAATTTTCATTATCAGATATCAAAATTTTTATCGAAAAAAAAAAGGCCAAAAGTTTTGAGGGTTACATTCAAAAATTTATTTTTATAAAAAAATGATAATGATTTGATACCAAATTAATTATAAGGTCAGACTTAATTCAAAGTTTTAATTTCATATAAAATTCATAATCAATCAAAAATTTTTTTTTTTTTGCAGAATGTCAAATTTTTAGTGTAAGTGTTTTCCAAAAATTAATTTGAATCATTAAACTGTAAATTTAAAAATCATAAATCGTCAGTGTATACAGAGAAAAAAATTAACTTGAATCAAGAAAAAAATTCTTAAACCAACACAGTAAAAAATTTTACGTCATTGCGTCAAAAAACTTAGTGTTAAATATTTAACGTTTTTATGTGTAAATTGAACATTTATTCTGTTAAATCAACACACAAAAGTGTTAAATATTTGACACAAAATTTTTTACTATGAAGAAAATAATTTTGAAGAGTTTCATTATCTTGGATCAAGCCGGAAAATCCTTGAATCAAGTAAAATTTATTTAAACCAAGAAAAATTTCTTAGTTTAAGAATTTTTTTACTCAAATCAAAAAGATAAAATCTTTCAAAATTATTTACTTGATTCAAGTAAATTTTTTTCTGTGTATATATACAGTCGCATAACAACAGTTGCTATGGCGACAATTTTCTTAGCAACGCGCTGGTATGCTAACGTAAAGGTTTGTCTCCGCAATTTTACTCTTAACCGAGAATAAAACTACTAAATAGTTCTCAAAAAATTCTTGAAATGTAAACTTATATTTTTCTCCACCTTTGACGGCACGTGACCTCTCAAAGAATGTTAAGTATTTAGCAAACTCTTTAAATTAACGTAAACTATGTACGCGGAGGATAGAATAGAATAGAAGTCGGTGTGGATATTGATCTGAGCAGAGACTATCTTACTTACACAGAGATACGAGCATAAAAGATACATACATGCATACAAGTTACAATGATATAGGTATAGAAGGTGTACCGAGTTTGGCCTACATTTAGCGATAAGTTTGCGCGCGCATTGGCTACTTTGGGTTCTTTCCCGCGCTTTAGATCTGGCCCGGGGGCTTAGCTGTGTTCTATTGGAATTCATTGAACGTGATACACTCCGGATAAGGCGCCGACCTCGGGTTACCTGGCATCAGTTAGTATAGACTTCTACTTATGCACGCGGACATATTTAATGTATGCGTAATGCAATTACATAAAATATGCACACTTTCGTGTTACCAGCTAAAATGAGGATATTTATTACCTGAAGAGTGACGACTGCAAGCTGCAAATTGACGTCGATGCACGAGTATCTCCGAGACATGGCAGTACTTCTTTAGTTATGTATTCCTCTAAAAATTGCAGTGATCTCCCAGTTGCCGTGTAATCACAGTAAATAACTGTAAACAGATACATAAAACATGTAAATTAATTTTGTAGAAAGTATCTAACGCAATCGATGATTGATTTCTCTGATATATTGTATATTATAGGGGAAGAGAAAAATAAGATTCTTTAGTTTTTGCGCTGGAGGAAAATATAATATCATTGAGCGAATTGAGCTACTTGAATTTCTCCGCTAAATTGATTATTTTTATTTATGGAAAATTATTTATTACTTTGATTAATAATAAGACGTTAAAATTTTTGACATTGTTCTCTTTAATTAAATTAAAAAATTATTTTTAAGTAAATTAAAAATTAGTGGAAGCATTGATAAAATAATTAGCTTGATTAAAAAGAAAATTATTTAAACCGAAAAAATAATTTTAAAATATTCGATTAAGTTGAAGCAAAAGAAAAATTCTTATAAAAGTTTCCAAAAATTAATTTGTTATAATTTTTTTATATGAACATACTTGTTATTTTTTAAATTAATGCTTCTTCTAAAATTCTTTTTTTTAATCTTATTTTTGAAAATTTTTCTAATTTCAGTTCCATAATTTTCATCATTAAAATTTTGGTTGTTTTTTTTTTTACTAAAAAATTTTAAATAGAAAATTTGGAGAAGAAAAATGTTGATTTTAGTAAAAACTTTACTAAGACTATTAACCACGATCCGATATGAAAGTAAAAGTACATATACTTTACGATCGAAAATTTCGAAAGGAAAAACGTCATTAAACGTTGTAGTGATACCTATCATCATCATAATACCAGAGTTTAAATGTTTCGTAATAGATTTTAATCTTTTGATCTTTAAGATTTTCCTGTAGTCAAAAATATTCCTATTTATTAATTCGTCGCTGTCAGAGACGATAAAAGCGTCAACATTTTTTTTTTATACTAAGAATACCTTGATTTGCATTTGAATATATTTTTCCTGACCATAAAATATAGATTAATCTCGACCAAGAGTTTTTTGTGAGGGACTAAAGCTTCTAGGTCAAAATAATCTGTCAAAAACACAAACAACGTAATTGAAAATGTTTTTATTTTCTTCTGCAGCCATAAATTTTATTATTTTATTATTTAATCTCATAATACATATTACATTTTACAGTTTAAATATTTTTTCTCGATTTTCGCAGACCGTTTTCACTGAAGGTAACACGTTCCGAGCAAGATGTTTGCTTTAATAGCGACTTCAAAGACTTGAAAGCTTCAAAAAAGGCTCTTTAAATATTTCGTCGGAGAATTACTATATATAAGTAAAGAGTAAGAGTTTGCTGTTGATTTATAGTCAATGCATCATTTACAATAAAATGTGTTATGTTTTATTGATATAATCACTCACATCTCACATCTGAATGGTGTAGCAAGGAGATAAATAGGGAGATCTAAGATCTAGAGGATTTCTACTAGCTACCAGTGGTACAACTTGACGGCCGTAATTCAAGGACATAAATAACAAGGAAAGTTTCTATATAATGAACTTGTAACGTGTAACGTGTCTTGGTTGAGTTAGTGAGATATGGAGAACAGATTTAATGCATACAATAATCTACCGAAGGAGAGAAAGGGTGAAGACAATGACACATATGAGATCTGGTGATAAACCTGGTGAAAGAGACACCTTTGCTCTTACATATCCAATCGCGGTTCTGCATCACCACGACTAAAATCATTAACAGTCCAAATGATTAACGGAAGGAGGAAATTAATTAAAAAAAGCTAATGAGCGGATTTCCACGCGATTACTCGAGATCAGAAAAGGCATTTAAAAGTCTAAGCTGAATTAAATGACTTTTAACTTTTAAACTTTCGCTCACTCATCAACATTTTAAATAGAATTTGATTGCTGATTCAGAATAGTGGTATTAATTCATTAATAAGCCCACTTTCACTCTCAAAAATATTTATTTTATTCTACTGTAGATTGTGTATCAATTTCTCTGAACTTAATCAGATTAGAAAAAATTTAATTATAAATTTTTAATATTTTTCTGACGTGTGCTAGGAAATTTGAATGAGAAAGTGCATTATGATTCGATAAAGATAAAAGGCGCTAGTTGTAGATAAATTTGTTTAACGATAGATAATTAAATAGCTCCAGGGCTGATATAGTATTATATTTTATTAGTTATTAGTATATCTAAGGCAATAAAATGATATATCAAATTAATTATAATGGGTGCGAAGAAGTAGTACGCTTAAAAATGAGTGACTTATTCAGGTCATGGACGATAAGTAGTACTACCAGAAATATTTTCGCGATTCGCTGTTGTTGGCATGTATGAATTGTTTGTTGAACCGAGAGTTAGAATGATGCTGAGATAAACGATGTTGGGGTTTTTGAATTAATGGTAGAGGATAAATTGATAAGAAATGACTTAATCGATATAAATAAATTATCTTTTTTGTTTATGACAGGTTTATGCAATCGATTATCGTAAAAATAAGACTGATGATATGCGAGATAAAAAAAAAGATTTAATTTTTCAAACACGGAAGCTCATTAAAGTTTTTCAGTATTTTATTTTAGAAAATAATAATAATAATAATAATAAATTTAATAATAACCAACTTTTGATTATATTTTTTTAAAATAGAATTTTTATTCTTGATATTCCAAAATTCTTAGTCTGAAAACTTTGAAAAGAATTTCAAAAAAAAATTGACAGTTAATAAATCACCAGATAAAATGAAAAAGTGTTTTTTCTTTTTTTTAACATATCATATAGCATGTTAGAATTCTTCAGGCATGTTTTTCAGTTATATAAATCATCTTATGACGCTTACAATAATGAACAACTTTACGCAGAGACAGTTATTGAATAGTTAGCAGAAAAAACAGCACGACAAAAACTAAAGACCTAAAAAACAGAATAAAGGTCTCGAAATCCTTGGAATGTTTATTGACGCCAAATTCGCCGTAAATTAGTGTCCTTGAATTGGTTAATGATCTCGTGTGACCGTGAATTTATTTGTCAGCCCACAACAATTACACACCGTGAATTAATTTGTTTTGAAACGTCAAATGCCTCACTTATCAATCTTAGAGCCCAAATATTTTTAATTAATTAATTTATTTTTAACACTGCGTTGAAAAAATATATCATCGTTAGACATAAATAGTTTCATTCTCAGTTTATATACTGTTTCGTTTTAATAACGCCAATTTATCAATGACGTTATACTAACGTCTACCAGTTGCTACTAGAAAGAAACTATGAATCGTTTGGGACAATTAAATTAAATCAATGTTGGAATTTTATATCTATATTTAGAATTAGAAATACTAGTGGCTTTGCTCGCATTCTATTACTCGCTTCAAAGATACTATGCTTTACCCTTGCAAAATGAAAAACATCAGGCGCACTGACATAAAAAACACACTTCGATTCACTAATTTGATATGACTGATATTGATAGTCTCTTACTAAAAATAATTGTAGAAAAAATTTTGATTGAAGGAATTCTTTTGGGAACATCAAGTTGTTTTTATGTTATGCTTCAGATATATGGATGTCATCATCATGATAATTAATCTCGAATGGATTTATTGATTTAGCTTTTTTTTTCTATGATCACAAAAAGTAGAGTCTAAATAAATATTTATTCAGTCACATTTATTATTAATTTTTCTATAATAATTGAAGTAGATGAATGTTCAGTTTTTTTATTTTGAAATAAATTATAAGAGGCAATAAATAATAAGCTGTAGAAAAAAAAAAGTTTACTGAAGCTAAAAAAATTATTAAGAAAGACCAAAATAGTTTTGGCTACGGAAAAAAAAATTTTTTTTTTTGATTATGAACATAAATGCCGCCTTCATAAACATTTTTTTGAATAAAAAATTAAGTTAATTCAAAAGAAAATTACTAAGAAATTCAAAATAATGAAATTTTTCAAAATAATTTTTTTGTTCGTTTTTTTATAATTCAACTTTTAATTTAGATAATTTAAAAACAGTAAGAATATTTTAATATTTGATAAAATATAAAATTAAATATGCGATTTGAAACAATTCAAGCATTTTTTTTAAGTAATTTGAGTTTAAAAAAAATTATTCATGTATGTTTAAAGAAAAGTAAAATAAATTTTACAACTTAGAATAAATTTAAGGACGACAACGAATAAAAAAAGTAGCATACGTAAATATAAAATAGATATAATCTTAAAACTAAAGCCGTGTCGCATTAAACGGTGCAAATTTAATGTCCAAATAACTAATAGCTCGAGCGCCAGCAGAACATATTTTCAAAAGATATATTACGTTGTGTAATAGAAGTAGAGTAGATTAAAATTCAAAAAGATAATTTATTTTCGTAGATAACGAATTGGATTTAAAACTATTTTTGACGTTAATAAAGTAAACGACATTATCGCCTCGTAAAGATTTATTGGAGAGGATGTGCGCAAATCCATGTCTTCAAAAAAATCAAATATATATACTGGAGAGTTTCCATGCTGAAACAGAATAGCAGGGAACGCCAACAGCAGCTGTACTTTGCAAGCTTTTAGAATTTTAACGAACCCGGCCAACAGTTTAAATTCGTTTTTCCGGGTTCTTTTTTGAGTTGCGTTAACGCTGGCGTTAAATAAACATTTAGTTACACATGTAATATCCACATCCTTTCAATATTTACCTTGTGATATAATGCTTTGCAATAACAAACATTTAAATTAATCGCATTGTTAATTATTTATCGCCTAATGAATAACTGAACAAATAAACATCTAAGACGTTGAGACGTATGGATAAATAAAAGAAGAAATAGCCACTTTTATCCAGTAATAATAAACAATCCAGCTTTAAATTAATGTATCGTGTGTGTGATTTATAAATGAATAATAATTATTAATGTGAAAATATTAATAACAAGTTTAGTTTGTTAGACTAGCTTTTACGTGGATATAGACAGGATTTTATCGGAAGTTGAGAAAGACAAATAAAACTTGGTATTGAAATCGATATTTTATACATATTTAGAATGTTAAAATGGCTGTTAGTTTTTGTTCTCAAGCAGACAAATATCGACAGGCTAATCAGAAGTTAAGAAAGACAACTAAAGTAGAGTAACAGTTGAATCAATATTTTTAACAATAGTTGCACTGA